GCTTAGAGGTGCCGTGCAGCATATGTGGTGTTGTCTTGTATCCACGTTCTGGGCAAGAAAGGCCGTACTTTGTACTGGGACCAGAAAATGGGTACTAAACTTGTCTAAGACACTTCAATATTTATCCGTTCAAACACAGACATGTTTTGGAAGTGCAGATGCTATTCTTAAAAGCTCTAGGATTGGATTTTGTGAGTCATCAATAAATAGTACCTTAATAGACGCAAAATGTCCGCAACTTACAAGACATAAGGCCGAAACCGTTCCCCAGGTCGTTTGCAAAAGCTACTGGAACCGTAAGAGTGGGAGCTTCGCTGAAGACTGTTTAAGATTGCAGCCGCTAAGGAGAAGAAGAGCAAGGCACATAGTAGCACACAAAGAAGTCGCATGGACGATGACAATAGGCAGAGCGTATCAGCTTCGTCAATAAGGTGCTGAAAAATCGTAAACGAAATTTGTGCCAGTGAAATGACCAAAAAAATTGTTGTGCCCTTTTTCTGGATAGACTGAAGTGTGTGAGCAGTGATCCGAGAGGAAATAAATCTGTTCCCATTCCGTTTTTCAGTGTTTTATTTCATTACAACATCAACAAAGTCGAGAGACATATGTTGGGGTGATTGCGATCATGTGGTAGCTGTGTGCTTCAGGAACGATTATAGCTGCCTTCCAGTGCTAAAATACTCAGTAGATGATAGATGTAGCTTTTCATTGGAAATTTGATAGTACAATGCCTTGATGTGTAACTAAATGCTACTTTGTGCAGCTAGTCTACATTATCAACTACGGAAGGTTCAAAGATCAAAACGTTTGAGAAAAGCTATTCACTGTGCGTATAACATTCATGCGCTGAAATCTTCTGTTAAGAGTATAAATTTATCGGACTGGTTAGATTAACTGTCAATTTGGTACTTTCTCCTCATGCTCGCCTGTTTCAGTGCCTTGGAAAAAACCGGGTTTTTGCTTTTTCCTAAATTTTAGTAGACATTCAATAGCTTAAATCACAAAAAATTGGAAAAATACAGTTAAATTTTGGAATGAGTTCATTTGTGCTCTAGCAATAAAAATAATGATGTGCTTCACATTCGGGCAGTGTTGCGCTAGACACGGCTTTCCTTTAGTTTTGATAACCATTTGATGGCACAAATTTCGACAATTTCAGCAGTACGCATAATTTTTGGAAACGACTTTTTAGTGCGTTGCTGAAGTTGAAGGAAGACCATGTTTCGCGTTTCTGCGCGCAATTCCTGTGGGCTCCGGAAGCGCGCTGGCTTATAATCGATGTTGCGAAATCTCATTCAATAACGAAGCAAAGAGTCAACGCCGCGGATTGAATGCATACTTATTTTCAGTGTTACAGTGCAAGAAAATTTTTTCCAAAACAACAGGTATACCACTAAAATGTTCGAGACTCAAGCTACCCAATGATTGCCAAGCGGGATCCGTAGCCGAGTGGTTGCAATGCTGTCACAGCGCGCCTGAAGCCAAATCTCCAAAAGAAAAGCAGAGGTTGATTAACTCAATGAGATGGAAATGTGTGCGCATAAAGAAAGGGTACCCTTCAGTTCAATTCCTTTAGGCTCTTGGGAGACGAAACCGCCAAAATGTGAGTCATTGATGTACTGAATAAATCTATTTGATAACCATTCGCCGAGTGTTCGTTGTTTGAGAGTTTTTTCTAGTGTTGAAGAACAGGTCTGAGAGTCTCTCAAGTCAAGGAGTTCAATGTTTCTGCTTGTAAGCCCAGTAATAGCCATGATTATTCAGTCTTCGTAAAAAATAGTCATCTCAAACAGCTGGCAAGTTCTATCAACGTGGAAAGTTCTTCTAGGCTTTCCAAGATCCAAGCTAAGGAGATTTTCAATCCAAATGTTACCCAGCTAGTAGGTTTCTAGTCAGATATTAGTTTTGTTGAGCCTTCAAATTAATACAAATAAGTAAACTAGTCATTTCAATGAATGTGACCACTAGAAAATGTCATACATCAATAATCTTATACAAGACATAGGGGTTGAACATTCATTCTTATTCCTACGAGCGAGTAGAATATTGAGATACCTCATATTTCCGCCTTTTACTTGAACTGTAACGAGAGTGCCGATGGGTCCATGCAGATCTTTCGCCATTCACCTCCACTATCGACATTCTGCGTCATACTCAACCATTTCCACGGGCGATTTTTTTCAAAAATATATTTTTAGTGTCACGAATCGCCAAATATAAACGTACAATGGCAGAAGAAAGAACCGTAGCTTTCTGGAAAAGGATAAAAGATGGAACGCTAGACGCTTAGTGATAGCCTCAAGAATGCACTATGATTTCTACTCTATCAGTGTCGCTGAGGTGAATGAATGTACAATCGCCCTAGACAATGCGGGCTCTACCTCACTAACTTGCGGTTCTACCTAACTGGACACATCACTGCCTTCATCCCCCAAAAAAAGTCTTGGTCAACATTATTCCGAGCTTGGGGCTAAAATAGGATCAACTTTGAGTGCGGGATCCAAAAGCCAGGAGACCATGTGTGCATGTGTACAAGACAGCTTTTATCACTTCTAGTGTGCCCTATAGAAAACAATCTCAATTCCACTAAAGCCAATATCTACTTTTTTACTTCTTGGCCCTAGCTTGAATATTAGCGCATTTACGTTCCCCCATACATCTTTCCTTGTAGTAGTCAATCATTCTGCAGTTATAACTTCCTCCATAGCTGCTATCCTCACCTTCCAAGCTTTCTGCTTCAGACTATACCATCGCTATCTGATGGGCCTTTATATAAACAAAGAGATTTGTGAATCATCTTGCTTTCTTTACAATCACACATAGCGCAATACGAATAAAAACAGTTTGTAAGAGCTTCTACATCTGTATTTAATGTGTCTGTATGAGCTAAAATGACCGTCGATGTTCACCGCCTAAGAGTTCTGAATTTGCCAGAGCTCCACCACTTTCTGCAAGTAATATAAGTAGCTTAGACTAACAAATACAAGTTCTCCATATACTATGAAAAGTCAGAAGTCTTTTTATTTGACTGCCACTTGCAGTGGTATGATGTTATAGTATACCCAATAATGTGGAGTGCTAGTGCAAAAACATTTGCGTTAGCCTGGATTCGAAACCCAGATCTGACTCTTTCCGGGAGCGTATGCTAACCGTTGCACCACCGACGCTCGTATTGTACACCACTTTTTTTATGATATAACGCGTTGTCTGCTAACAGCCAACCGTCGACGGTCTGGCGGGGCAGCCGCTATCGGCATTGAACCCACTTGTGTTGACATACAATAGGTATCGATAATTAGAGAAATCTGGAAAGAGTAAGATCTGGGTTCGAATCCTGGCTGACGCAAATGTTTTGCACAGCACTCCACATTATTGGGTACACTATGAAAAATGTCAGGAAAGTTGACTTGATTTTATGTTTCGCTATAGTTTTTGAAGATCTGAGCTGCGTCAGACGCAGTGAGTGCCGATTCCAGAAAACTGCTCAAGTTCCACGCGGAGTAGTGCTCAAATTCTTGACATAAGTATAATACCGGGCCACGTCTCTGTTGGATAAAAGAATTGGGAAGAGTGTTGACTAAAAACTTCAGTTGCATCTGTAACCGGTGATTCTACAACCACATCTAGTCTTCAGAGCTTAGTTCTTTTTCAGAAAGCTCAGCAGTTTTGCCATAGGAAAGGATAGCCATTGATGTTGAACAAAACCATTAGTCAATCCATCAGCCTCACTCTCCAAGCTTCCGTAGCGCAGTCGGTAGCGCGTCAGTCTCATAATCTGAAGGTCGTGAGTTCGAGCCTCACCGGGAGCAGTTCTTTTGGAAGACTAATTCGTTAGAGAGCTCTTGAGCTAAACATTGTATATGAAGTCGTTCTCTATGATTAGAAAGCGCAAAACTTCTGCCGTGACTTCGGTAGTTATTGAAATGAAACAAAATTAAGCTGCTCTAACAACGATTTCTTTCAGTCATAAATGTGGGTGAATCCTAGCTAAGTCGACTCCCCGTTGAGTTCTAGAACATCCGAACTAGAGAGCTTCCAGTCGAATTTTAGAAAGTGAGTTTCACCAGACAATTAGGGTGTCAATTCCACTAAGTCCACTCTAGAGGATTGATGGGTTTTTGAAGATTCGCGGTGAAGTCGAATCACTGTCGTTCAAATGATAAAGAGGCATCACTATTACTGCGCTATATTCCCCCATAAACCACTAACAAAGAACATTCAGCTTTACGAAATACTTTAGTTAGGAGTAGCGTTGGAAAAAAACGAGTGCAAAGTATTCCTAAAATCTCAGAACTACATTGAAGCGGTCAGAAAGAGGCGAGCTGTGGAAAACTGCATATTGGAATCAGATGATCGACGAAAAAAATAGCAATATGAACAAATGTTTCATTTATGATCATGAGAAAGACCAATATAGTAAAGGAAAAGTCACTTTATGTCAGAATTGAGGTGAAAGACTGACCTATAAGGATAAAGAATAAGGCTCTCTGGTGTTGATCAATCCCTGAAGAATGCACCATGCATTCGCCTTCAATTTTTAGCTTCATTTGAGTCGATTGAATGCATATCTGGCCTTACACAATGAGTCACACTGTCCTACCGAATTATCGAGTCAGTGCTGCTCAACCTCCCAGACAAGTATGGTACCAGCCTGGTACTGATTTACTGATCTCAGAGTGATGGAAAGCTCGGTGAGGCACGAGCGAGCAAAGCGAAATTTGCATACTATCTCCCTAAAACAATGAGATGAAGCTTTTCAGCGGTTTAGGTAACACTACAGAATACACGAGGCCGTTGAAGTTCTAGAAAGTAAGCCTGCAGCGTGTCAAAACTGTCCCACTGTATCCTCTATACATTTGTTTGCTTATTCAAAAAGGTCACTTCAAATTATGAAGCCACAAGATTTAGTTGAAAAACAATTTTCATTCAGTGACGTGTTAGCGGTGGCATGATGTTATAGATATATCTCAGTGATATAAGAGTAATGTGCAAAAACTCCTTGGGTCAAACGGGGCTCGAACCCGCATCTCACTCTATTCAGGAGTGTGTGCTCTAACCCACTGCACTACTGAAGCTCTTTTTGCCATCACTCTTTCTACGCTACAGCGCATGTACCTAAAACAGGTCAAATAGAAAGAATTTTATTTGATAATCCAACACCCATTATCTGTCAGCGTGGCTGGGTTCATTATCGATACCGACCACCTGAGCCAAACCGTTGACGGTTGGTTGCTGATAATGCTGATAGAGATGTGTTGTAGTGTAAAAGTGATGGCAAAACGGGCCTCATTAGTGCAACGGGTCAGGGTACGCATTAGGACAAAGTGAGATGCGGGTTCAGAGTCCCAGCTGACTGCAAAAAGTTTTGCACATCACTCCACATCACTGGGTATATCATTTAGTTCCTTTCTATGTTTTACTAGTGAACAGAGAATAGGTGGTGAAAGAACAATGGAGAAAGTGAGCAGGTCTCGCCTTTCTGAAATGTAGAATTTTCATTCTTGGAATAAGAAGGTAAATCATAAGAAACCGATTGTGAAACGCTTTATTTTCACTTTTGTTAACATTTGGAAGACAGGAAATAGAAATGATATTTTGAAAGACCGCTCAAATTACATAACTGATGCGTTGAGCCCGATGGCTTGCATAAGAGCTAAATTTCTTACTCTACAGTGTAAAAATGAGAAGTTCAAGTTACGTTGACAATTGGAAGGGTCATCGGCCTACATGTATACCTGCCATGTTCTTTATTCAGATCACGGTGTTCATTTCCTCGGCAGTTCGAACAAAAGCCAGTAAGCGCCGGCATCTTTTTGGCGACAGATCTCAGCTCAAAGGAAAAGAATTGTCTCCTCATTAATTTAAAAAACTAAGAAAGTCTATTTCATAGTGTTACGAGTTAGATTAGTTAAGTAGTGATCGTAATCGGTACAGTTCCTATCGCATAATCAACCTATTTTGTACTTATGAAGCGTGGTAGCGTAATGGTTAGTGACGCGGTATTTGAAAAATAGCGTGATGAAATGAACTGGTTCGATCCTATACTTCAACACTCTCTAGTAATCAAGTAACTAAACTCCTGGAAATGCCTTAGTGTGACTACCTTCTAGATTGCCAGAAGAATCGCTTCCGACCAGCATACCATGGCATATTTGAGAAAACACAAACCCCAATGACTAGCCGGAATTAGCACAGAATATTCTAAAACTATGGCCTTTTAAAATATGAATGCAAGGAAACGAATAGAGCTCAAGTGTTATGTTCCGTGCAGTTGTGTTGATGAACCTTTTATAGAAGCTCCTGGTAATGCGGAAATCAGAAAGAGATTTGATAATAGCTCTAAACTTCCTCTCTTAATGCATAGAGCCAAAAGGGTAAATCCGAGTCGCTGTCGTTGTTCAGCTCATGCAGGTCAATCGCCACGTATCAGTGTGAATCCGATCCGCTCAACTCGGAGTCGCAGAGTTGACTCCGATGATCTCGTTTTTCAGAGTCAAGTCCGTACTACGTTTATATGCTCATCCGAACTTATCGAGCGATAAACACATTTTCTCTCAAAAAGAGTTATACGTTAACCGCATTTCATTTATGTAATGAAAACGCTGAAATCGATTCTAATGTGATAAAGCTTTCTGCTCAAGATCTTACAGCTATATTCACGAGAATGTTGGTCGATCGAAAACACTACACTAAATTCAGTATTCACAAATTTCAATGAAGATGAAGGTCGAAAAACGGATGCAGACGCTCTAGACGAAACAATGCTGCCACGAAAATGAAAGAAGAACGGACGTGTTGCCAGCTTGTAAAATTCTTCACGCGTAATGCTTTTGACATCTGGAACTTCTTTCGTTTGAGAAATTTTATTGTCAGCACATATGTGAAATCCTCGATTTTTTCAAACGAATCTCCGGAAGGCAGCACAAAAACAGATCGTCGCAGTTTTTCTTCATGACCAATTCGATAAAAGCTACTGTTACTTCTAGACAACTGCATGTAAACTTTACTGAAGCATCACGCAGTAGCGGAATCTCTGCTAATTCCAAATTCTAGTTTTGAATTTTCATATCCCTTCTCCATGGTGGATAAAACTGGATAGAAATGAATCATTAGCGCATAACCATCTTTATTACCAACAAGATAGAAAATTGATCCATTCCATCCTACAGCCTTTTTGGCCTCAAACTCCACGAAGACTTCCTTAACAGCGATTACTCTGGCTTATGAAGATCTATATCTGCGAACAAATGATGAGATGCTTCTAAACATTTCACAGCCGCGTGTACAAATTTTGGCATATGCATTTCGATAATTATGGGCCTTTCAAAGCACCGGATGAATAAATACTGATTTTAACGCGGTGACCAGTCACCCTATAATTCGATGTGTGCGAAGGGGTCAGAGAGCGAAGCGTTTAACACGATGGAGGTGGAGTAGTTCTCCATACAATTTCAGACTTTCACGATTTCTGCCGTAATGCGATGGTGAATCGTGGTCATATTACGCTACACCAATTTTTATTCTGGAGTGTACGATCTCGATTCTGAACGTAGAAATTGCAAGCTTGTTGGTTTTCCATAACGACAAATTTCTTCGCATCAATCATTTCGTCAGAATCCAAGAAGTTGTCAGTGGATGATAGCATTTTCCCGATGCGAAGAAGTCACCATAACGTTATTCTGCTGCAAGTTAAGCATCGGAAGATCTTTCTTTGCCTCACTTTCCTCCAAGTATTGGGCAGAGAACTGCTCTTAACGATTATTTTCATGTCATTCGTTTATCTCATGCAGCTCTCATATGCCGAGATTCATCTTTACAATTTTACTTTACTTGAAGGATTCAAAATTATTGTTCTATCTGTAGATCACCCGTAAGTTCTCGAAGTGGTGTTCGTTATTCTTCAAGCAATATATTCGTACGGTAATCAGCGACGGTATTTGATTGCTCGTAACTCTTCTCATCTTCAAAGTTTTCATATCTTTTATTTTATTTCCTCATGACAAATGTACTGAAGGTGCACTCCTACCGATAAGCTTTCTCGTTTTGCTTACAATTCGTAGAAACATCTGTTTTCCTCATATTCTCTTTTCACGATTTTATTCCAGTAGTCTAAATCAACATAATCACGAGAACAAAAACATTAACTCCAGCTTAAGCAGATCTGAAAGAAAAAGATATAGAACATGAGGGGTGTTTCCACATGAAAGTGTATCTCACCTATACAGTGTCTTCCCATGGCCTGGCGAAAAGGCGGCTTAATCAATGGACTATTTACTTGATTGATATACAATCTAAATAATCAATCCTACCTATGCTGTTACAAAACTTCTGACTGGATAACATTTCAGCACATTCGGCAGCTTCAAAACCGCATTTATCTAAGTCAATTGTCGTGCAGGCGCTTGTCTATACGTAAGGGAAACCTTAACGCCTTCAACGGCGAAATATTCAGTGGATAGAAGTTTCAAAGTAATCCTATGCAGGTTGAAACAGTCCAGAAATATAACCAGAAGAGTGCTGACATAGGAGCAAATTTTGGAACCTGAGGTAGCTTCAAACGCACGATTGCTCTTGTCTAAGCTCACAATGATTCCCATTAGACATCAAAGATCTCGCTCTGCCTTTCTTTCAGCTTTGCTCTTACTCTTTCGGTGGATGTCAGCAGTTACCCATCAACGGAGTTGAGCTGGAGACTGAAAATCGCCACCGAATCCAGTTAAGCCGAAGCTGCCAGAGGAAACTTAGGAAAGGTCTCAAGCCATAGAGTTATGTGTCAAAGAGAATATCAAAGCTTTCGTGTCTAGAAACTACCTTTTACAAAATCTTCTCGCAAGTAAGGCCTCAGTTGAAGCCTTCCTTAACTACTTCACTTGGGGATCTAGCAGGGACAAACAGTAATTTGAACTCGTTTCGCTCTACTCCTTACCTATGCACAGTGTTCTACATACGCCAATTTTATTTCATTTCTAGTACTATAATCTCATGACACGAACGTTTACATAAGCATTCTACGAAAGTACCATTCCTAGTGATGCCCGGAATCCCTGTACCGCTCGATAATTTTTTGTCGATGCAAAACTCAAGCAGCTTATATCACTTACCTTGTCATCATGCAGACTACATTAGGCTATTCTGAAAAAACCCCTAAGCATTTTCTTTCACATCTTCGCATAATACGTCGTATACAACTGAGTAGCCCCTCTTTTATCAGTAACACGAGTTTCATTCGCGAGTATAAAATGAAAGTCTATGTGAACTCACTGAGAGCTTCTACTTCAGTTCAAATTTCAGCTAGGGTTATGTATGGAAACGTGTTAGGTTCACGTCCTTCGCTACAAAGACAAATTTAAACCTGCACATAAAACCGGCACAAAAAAAACGTGCTTTCTCTCACATGCTGTGGCTCTCAATAATCTAAGTACAAAAATCTTTGAACAGAGCAAGAAACAGCTTACATAGTCCGAAAAGTCGAGACCCTCAGGCCATAAAAATAGCGCACGAATTAGTCTTTTTTTCCGCCTCTGGCAAATGATACTAACACATGTACTAAAATAGTTTCAAACATACTTCTGCTTAATTAACCCATTAATTCATTTTCTGTGGACTGTGGAAGAAAACATAAGTTATAACAATTTATCAACAAAACAAGCGTTAATTATTTACGAGCGGATGCCAAGATCCTTCGCCCTAGCTTTCTCCAGTCTGAGTTTCTTGGCTTCCGACCTGGCAGACATGACGCCACCTCCCCAGTGCTTTCTGATCTCGTCACCTCGTTCATTGAAGTTTGTCGATACAGTTTCAACAAGTTTCGACAAAGCGGATCTGTCCTCACTGCAAACGAGTATGTATGACGATAGATTCGTCAACCGTATTCATAAAGTCTATGTAACATATTAGTAAAACTAACGGATTAACATCAACGATAGCTACGGCCGAGGTGGTCTTACGTCTCACAACAGTTCCCAATGCGGCTTTCCCTCTAACGATAGCGTATGGAACATTGAATTTGCGGCACAGCGCAGGCAAGAAAAGCACGATTTCGATCGGATCAACGTCGTGAGCTATGAGCACCAAC